CATAACGTGGGTGTGCCTTAGTAAACCCTAAAGGAGGGACCTTGGAGGGAGGGGCTTTGGTTCACTGACTGACCTGATACAGGATCTGGATGATGTTGGCAAGGATAGCTATCACCATGTCAGTATTGAAACCCCATTTCTATCATTCAACAGAAGAACTGCTGACAGAGTCTCTAGACCTTCTTTGAGATGCTCGGCAACTGGAGTTTTGGCGACTACTTCAAGAAAGAAGCTATCACTTATTCGTGGACCCTGTTGACGGAAGTCTATGGGCTAGATCCCGATCGCCTCTACGTTACTTACTTTGAGGGTAATGAAGCCGGTGGGTTGGAACCAGATCTGGAAGCTAAAGAACTATGGAAATCGGTGGGCGTTCCTGAATCCCACATTCTTCCTGGAGATATGAAAGACAACTTCTGGGAAATGGGTGACCAAGGCCCATGTGGACCTTGCAGTGAAGTGCACTATGATCGGATCGGTGGGCGCAACGCTGCTCACCTCGTCAATGAAGACGACCCAAATGTGTTGGAAATCTGGAACAACGTCTTCATCCAATATAACCGCGAGCCAGATAGCTCCTTGAGACCCCTCCCCAACAAACATGTCGATACAGGAATGGGCTTCGAAAGACTGGTGTCAATTCTCCAGGACAAATCTTCCAACTACGATACCGATGTCTTCACTCCGATCTTCCAGGCTATCCAGAATACCACCGGGGCTCGGGAATACCGCGGTCACTTTGGCGCCGAGGACGCCGATGGAATTGACACGGCCTACCGTGTTGTTGCAGATCACGTGCGAACTTTGATGTTCGCTATCTCGGACGGTGTCATTCCCAACAACGAGGGCCGTGGCTATGTGATTCGCCGTGTCCTACGCCGAGGAGCTCGCTATGCCCGGAAATATTTCCAGGTCGATATCGGGAATTTCTTCGCTAAGCTAGTGCCGACTGTTGTGGATCAATTAGGTGAAATGTTCCCTGAACTGAAGCGCAAGCAGCAAGATGTTATCGAAATCTTGGACGAGGAAGAGTTGTCATTTGCCAAAACCTTGGATCGAGGTGAACGGCAATTTGAGCAATACGCCCAACAGGCCAAAGTCAAGGGCACCGATATGCTCCATGGTGCCGACGTTTGGAGACTGTACGACACCTTTGGCTTCCCTGTTGACCTGACTCGGATTATGGCGGAGGAACGTGGCCTCCGCATTGATGATGTCGAGTTTGAAGAGGCTCGCTTGAAGGCAAAGGAAGCCAGCAAGGGTCAAAAGAAGACCGCGGAGAATACAGTTAAGCTTGATGTTCATGATCTAGGCAAGCTGGAGAAAATGAACGACGTACAAAAAACGGATGATTCGCCTAAATTTGGCCGAGGTAACATCACTTCTCACGTCAAGGCTATCTACCACGGGAAAACTTTCCACGCTAGCACTGACGATGTTCCCGAGGGGGCACAGCTTGGCGTCATTCTCGACTGCACAAACTTCTATGCCGAACAGGGTGGTCAGGAAAACGATACAGGCAAAATCATCATTGACGGACAAGCGGAGCTTGAAGTTGGCGACGTCCAATCTTATGCCGGATACGTTCTACACACTGGCTTCATGAAATACGGATCATTTGCTGTCGGAGATTCTGTCATTTGCGAGTATGACGAGCTCCGACGCTGGCCCATCCGGAATAACCATACCGGAACCCATATCCTGAACTTCGCCCTGAAGGAGATCCTGGGCGATGGTGTTGATCAGAAGGGATCCCTGGTGGCCGCCGAGAAGCTCCGATTTGACTTCTCCCACAAGAGCGCAATCTCAGACGCCGAGCTCGAGAAGATCGAAGCCAAGGCGACTGAGTATATCCGACAGAACTGTGCTGTTTACTCCCAAGACGTTCCGCTCGCCACTGCCCAGCAAATTTCCGGCGTCAGGGCCGTATTCGGTGAAACTTACCCCGACCCTGTTCGTGTCGTCTCTGTCGGTGTGGAATTGGAGGAAATCCTGCAGAATGTCAAGGATCCCCGTTGGCAGGAAGTCAGCATTGAGTTCTGCGGTGGAACTCATGTGCAGAAGACAGGCGACATCAAGGATTTGATCATTCTGGAGGAGAGTGGCATTGCCAAGGGAATTCGCCGAATTATTGCCGTCACTGGAGAGGATGCACATGAGGTGCAGAGAGTTGCCGAGGAGTTCGGACAACGCCTTGATCGGCTGAATGCGTTGCCTTTGGGCTCCAAAAAGGAGCAGGAGGCTAAGCAAGTCCAGGTGGATCTCAACCAGCTTACAATCTCCGCCGTCCAAAAGGCCAAGTTCCGCGAACGTTTTGCCAAGATCAATAAGCAGGTCCTCGATGGCCAAAAGGCCCAACAAAAACTGGAATCGAAGAAAGCAGTGGACGCTATCACCTCCTATTTCGAAGCTCCGGAAAATCAAGACAAGTCGTGGCTTGTGGTCCAGCTTCCGATTTCTGCCAATGCCAAGGCAGTCAGTGAATCTCTCAACCATGTCAAATCAAAGATGCAGGGCAAGAGTGTCTATCTCTTGGCGGCCGACTCTGAACAAGGTCGGGTTTCACACGGATGTTACATCTCTCAGGTGAGTAACAGAACACATCAGTCTTACCTTGCTTGAATTTGTGGGAGGGGGGAAGCAACTAAAACATGACTTATGGGTTCTTATACTAATTTCGGACATAGGGACTGAGTGACCAAGGTGCTTCGGCAAGCGACTGGGCGGCTGTCGTCTCTAGCGCCGTGGGAGGAAAAGCTGGAGGAAAGGGACCTACATCCATTGGTAACGGCACCAATGCTGACAAGGTCGAGGAGGCTATTTCACTGGCTGCGGATTATCTAAATAAGTTCAAGCTCTAGATTTGAGGACAGGATTCTGTGAAGTCTTTTTTTCCCCTTTTTTTTCGGAGATATCACCTCTGTGTCGATCACTATGAAATATGCCAAAGAGCCCTGGTTAACTAAAGCCATACGAAATTGATATATTTCCATGATTCAAACTCTTTTCTTGCAATCCTAGGAGGCATGGATGTGTACGCTGTTTCCCAGATTTTTTAGATATCACCTCATTTGCGTAATTAGTATTACATCTCTCCACATTGCACAATAGTTACATCTTGGTTGGGCTTGTCTTTAGTAGTACGGGTGTGTTCCAGCATTTTAACAATGTCTATCCCATCAATCACCTGGCCGAAGACCACATGCTTGTTGTTCAAGAATGGGGTGGCCGTGGTTGTTATGAAGAATTGGCAACCATTGGTATTTGGGCCCGAATTCTGTTGTTGTTAGTGAAAAGTCCTGGGTAGGGTCCTGGGCAGTCCCCTTGGCGAGACGTTCAAACTTACAGCCATACTTAATAAACCAGCACGGTCATGTGTGAGAGTGAAATTTTCATCGGCAAATTTCGAGGTGCCGTAGATGGTACATGACCCAGTCCCATCGCCATTGATGAAATCTCCACCCTGGATCATGAAATCTTTGATCTGCAGCAAGCATTAGTTCTGTATCGATATCCAAAGCTAGACCACATACCACTCGATGAAATTTGCTTCCCTTGTAGCCCTGGGGTTGTCCCTTGGAGTTCTTGGTCTCACCGGTGCAGAACTGGCGGAAATTCTCTGCAGTTCGTGGGGTGACATTGGCGAACAACTCCATCTTCACTCGACCTAGGGACTCGCCTGTATGGGATTATATTACTTAGCAGAGTTTATGTGGGATGAGTACTTAGATGCCTGGACCAAAGCATGCCAATAAAGCCCACTTACCTCCAAGGGCAATATCAAAGAAAACCACCGGATTAGCTTCAGCCATAGTGGAACTGGATGTGTGCAGATGTGATGAAGAGGGAAGTTTGCATTTGGATAGATCTCTGATGTTCCCTTGTACCAGGTGGTTTTCGGAGGTACGGAGCGGTGTAACGGCCATATGAGACTTTTATTTGGTGCGCCTTTTGTTGCGATATTATATACCTGTATCTATCTATATTCTAGTTATCACAGCCCTTCTTTCAATTTAGATAAGAAGTAATATATTTATTTTTTCTATATTTCCCAGAAGGAAGAATTACATATGGAGTACTACAACCTCTCTTCCCTACATAGTACATAGTACAATATATAGGTAGGATCCAGTCCAAATCCATAAGAATTGACATTTCCTAAATCAGAATTCACTCGTATCTATTGTTTACAAATTGTGGGGTTTACACTAAATATTATATGTGATGCTATGTACTATGTATGTACATGGATGTGACCAACTAGTTAGCTATAGTTATGTACCTTTTAAAGCCATGCAATAATATGCAATACCCCATTTATTTGAAATAAATAGAACCAAAAAAGGGGGAGAGGAGAGAATCTTGATCTCATCCCCTGAATGTATTCAGAAATACCTTACATGTCTCATTTATTTCTGAACTCCTGTGAAACCCCGTGAAATTCGATGTATCCGAGACTTTTTTTTTTTTTACACAAGTCCCGTGATTTCCAACCTCAGGCAGTCAGTCTCTGCCGCATGCATCCTTAAATCAGGAGCCCTGGCCTTCTGCTTTGATCCACTTTCTCTCTATCTCTTTATCTCTCCATTTCTCCATCTCCCCATCTCTCCATCTCTCCATCTCTCCATCTCCCTCGCCGTCTCTCTGTTCCCCGTGTCCTTCTGTCTCTCCTCACCTCGCCTAGGTGTCTTCTACTCATTTCTACCAATAATGATATGAGATCGACTCCCGGCATTCACCTTCTCTTCTCAGGAAGGTCTGTGTGTTCTGCTTACAGATCATCTATCATAGGCCATCAAGTTTAATCTTCAAATATTCAGTCGCATGGGGTACATACCCTTGGATCGTTCACATCCACTTTCTCGTCGTCTTGGACTTAATCTGCTGGAGTCTAGCCCGAAATTTATCTACAGGGTTGCCCTGTACACCCAGCCCGAGGCATGAAGGATCGACACTGGGGCAACTGAGACTCTAGCAATAATCAAGCGGCCGTGTTCCAAGTGGGATCGGGTCATTTCCATATTCAATTGTAGTCAGAATGTCTTCAACACCAACATCAGCCTCGAGCAGTGCTGCCACCACTACTGCTAGTAGCGGCGGAGAGGGTTCGGGTTCAAATAATCCTACAAGCTCACCTTTATTATTCTTCGTCGCCCTCGGATTTGGTGTTGTGTTCACAAATCTATGGTATGTCGCTTCATGCTCCTGTCCAGGCCCGCGCGCTAGCCTTTCTTTCGGGGATGGCATCTAACGGTTGTCGCAGGATCATCGTTGGAGTCAAGTACTGCTTTCGATATAGCCAACGAAACCGTCAGCTCCGCAGTGAGGAAGCGGGGGAGCCCATAGACTTGGTCACTATGCCACGACCTCATCGCAGGAGAAGGGAGAAAAGGCTAATGACGATGGATGAAGTCAACGGGCGGTTTCCACTGGTCAAATACAAAGTGTGGAGGTCAACTCGCGCCAACCAGGGTCTTCCAACAGAAGGAGGTATCACAGCTCCGAATAGTAGACCCCAGAGCCTAAAAGATGAAAGTGATATCGTGACAACAGCGGTTGAGGACCACACATCGGCAATATCACCATCCACCAAGGGCCACGGGCGAGTGGATTCCAATGATACATCACAAACCCCCATTCAAGAGCTGCAAGATGGCCCTCCAGTGCAGGCTTTGGAGGGGAAGGGCCCTTCAATATCTGGGATGCCTTCTTCTACTCAACAGTCCAGTGGTGCAGGTATCCAGAAAGAGAAATGGCAGCATTCTTTGACCAGCGAAAACATGAACATTGATCTTGAGAACCATGATGGTGATGCCTACATTCGTAATGCTGTTCCTGCTGATCTTCTGCCCAACCCGGGCGATTCTTGCGCGATTTGCCTAGATATCATTGAAGACGATGATGATATCCGGGGACTTGCATGTGGACATGCTTTCCATGCCTCATGCGTCGACCCCTGGCTGACTAGTAGAAGGGCATGTTGCCCTCTGTGCAAGGCCGATTACTATGTCCCCAAACCCCGTGCACAGGCCGAATCACAGTCTGTCACAGATCACCAGGGTCGTCGTACAGCCTCGACCCACCCGGATGCAATTCTCAGACCTCCTCGAGTCGCTTGGAATGGTGGCAGGGCAAATGGATTTCGGGTCCAGATGGGCTTGCCTAGCCGAATATTTCAATCGACATCACCAGAGGAAAGAGACACATCTCCAACCCGAGAACAGCATGTGCGGAGTGGGCGAGATCAACATTTGGACCCAGTCCATGTCTCGGATTCTTCGAATCAATCTGCCTGGTCTCGATTGATTCCCACTCGGCTCCGCCAGTTTCCCATCCATTTTCCCTCTTCGAGGAGACAACCACCTGCAGTTAGGACTTCGCCTGTGGAATCCCTGCCTTCAGAAGGACGCACACCTCGTCAAGTCGAAGCTGGTACCTCATGATAGATCTTTGACTGCTATCCTTTTCATACCCCTTCACGATTTGGCTAATCTGCTAAATTATTTTCCTGCCGGAACCACATCTGGAATGTTGGCTGGAGTTTTATTTTCCTTGTTTATGAGTTGATATGTGTAATTTATCGTTCTTTTTTTATGCAACTTGGACTGGGGCGCATGTCGCTCATAGGGGCGTTGTTCTTTTTTCTTCTTTCGGCTGGAGATTTACGAATTGTCTTGTCTCCCTCTCACCCTACTTCAAGCTATGAGGAGGAACCTTGTCTTCTAACGGCCACTTCCCCCCAATTCTTGGTCCATTTAGCAGGCTGAATGGGTTGTGCATTGGTTGAATATCTATTTATCACTTGGTGCGCAACACCGGATTACATACATACAATGTGTTATTTTGTACATGCTATACAATACATTCTTTTGGTATAGCCCCATGCCCTCTAAAATAGTTTGCACCGCCTTACCATGTATGTACTGCTTGCTGCATAGATCTGGAAGTTCCCCCTGATGTAGGCCCGGGGAGGGATAATCAGAAATAAAGCAAAGTAAAACTTGCCTAAAAGCTGAGGGGTGAATGAGGAAAAGAACATGAAGCCCTGGCCCCCAAACGGACAGCCAAAAAAAAAAAAAAAGAAAAGAAAAGAAAACCAAGACAAAAACCGCACCCTAACACCTACACGGCTTTCCATATACTCACTCACATCTGAGACTTGGGACCTCCTACACCAGCACTGATGACACTGGGTAGCTCCTGTGAGCCCATACTGAAAAGCATTCCAATCGCACTACCAACCAGAATGATGGCAAGCAGACTAACACTCGCAACAAGGAAGAAAGGTGAGCTGATGTCTTTTTTCTGGCAAGCCGATCCACCCCACTGAATAGTTTTGGTGGTGCCATCGCTATTCTGAACAACACTTTGTTTGCATTGACATGCATAACAATTTCCTGTCGTTCCCTCAACGCCCGAACCGTATTTCAGATAGCAGGAACCGTGTCCAGAGCAATTATTGGTAGATTCTGCGCACGATGAGTTTGAAGCATGGCAGACAGGCGCTAGGGTCGACCGCAGCGCAGAATTCTGCACCGACCTCCTGAAGGTATTTTGTTGGGTGACTGGTGCCGATGATGGTTTCGCGCTTTGGCGGCTGAGTCCTTCTGATTTGACACCAGGGGGTAGAACAATAGTCGTGATCTCCCGGTTGCTGGTTGATGCTATTTTAGCTAGGTGAAGAAGCAATCTCTCTAGGAGCTCGGTTCTAAGAAGAGAATCACCAGACGCATTCTGCAATTGGTGGTGTGGAATTAGAAATCATTCACTAGTTAGGTAGGGGAAACTTGATACCTTGAGGGACAATTTCAAAGCTGAATCCTTGTGATCCTTGCTTATCCAGGATTCCACTGAATCAATCAGTGGCAGCGAGTCAGGGGGAAGCAAATCAGACCCATCGGCAAACATGGGGTCCCTAGATAGGCATTCCTTGGGAGTCTGATATAATTGAAAGATTAGCAAGGGAATGTGAAGTCATTCAAGTTGGCTTTGCTACCTGGGGTGTCGATGATGTAGCCCTGCTAGCATTGCTGGAGTATGTGCAGGTCTGTCCACGGTCCCCTTTCGCAGTGGGGTTGCTTTCAACAAATGATTCCAGGAGATCAAATCCGACAAAGGGCGAGGAAATTTGAGGGATATGAAGATGGTTTGGTTGGGCTTTTTGCATGACTAGAGCTGCATGGCATTAGCTAGATTCCAGTCAAGTGTGAGTCCGCTTCCACTTGCCAACTTCCTGGTTGATCCCTTCCAGAATCAAGATGCTTTTCTTGGGGGCACTCTCCCCAGTAGCTCCCCCAAAGAGAGTAAAATCATCTTGAGCGAACTGATTCAAGTAGTGCACAGTGTCTGCATCCACCACTCCGAGGACCGATGCTACGGAGGACTTCATACGAAGCTCCAAAACAAGCCGGGCCTCATCTTCTGATATTGTTTGTTGTTGGGGACTAGCAGATAAAGAGTTTGTAGTCTTGGAAGGAAAGGTGAAGATTGTAGCATCCAGTGCATTTGCTTGCAATGCACCTGTTAATGCCAGGGCAAGGAAGGCAGACACCCAGCGCATATTGCTAGAATCAGGAGGGCCGGAGTTAAGGGCAAGACTATTTTGGCAGACGTGGCAATACCCACATCAAGAGTCTCCTCTGGGAGTATCTGGAGATTTGTTGGGTACAACGGCGAGGAGTCAAGGACAGAATACCATTTGGTTAAGGACGACTTGGGGGCATCCGATAAGATATCACCTAAGCTATCACGTGATCTCTAGTATGTATGTCGACTGCTCACCTGAGTTAGCTAACTATTTACCTGTACAGGTAATATCCGTGTCATGAATTTTCTAGCCCAAGAGTTTGTTCTGGTAGTAATCCTATTGATCCCAAGAGATCATCAAAGGTACCTAGTTATCATGGATATGTACAATACGTATAACTACATTGTTAACTAACTATGGTACGGTACACACTGAGGTTCGGGGCCGGGCCTGCACCGCCGCATGTTACATAATCCACCAAACCACCGAGCCCATTTGCCATTGACCAACTCCCGAGGCCACAACACAAATCCTCGTGCATATCAGGCTTCAAGGATTCTGTCCATACCTTTTTATCTAAATTGAGATGATACTCTAGTGAGAATCATTGTAGGGATTGGCTTTTCCCAATGCTCCGGCTCAGGTATCTGCTTCGAAGTCCTCACGCACGCTCGTCTCTCTTCAGCCCTACACACGCTCGTTCCAACTTCTCCAGCCCAGAAAATGTGCGACATGTGAGGTTTAGGCGGCCCTGGATTAGGTAAGAAGCCCTGTTTGAAGTCAACCAGGGTCTCTTTGGTTAGACTGACGCAGAATTCCTCAGGTCGTTCATATCAAAATGTCTTCTGTACGGCACCGCATTCCACCTCTGGAGCACATTCGTGCTAGTACGATTTGACGACGATACCGACGATGTCGATATACCCCCTGTGGCCAACTCTGAGGAGATAGCCCCGCATGAAACCTCCTTAGGAAGCGGCAAAATCACTGGGAAGGAGGTCGAAAACGAAGGTGTGCTGTTCATACCGCTTGCCTGGTCTCGATTGCAACAAGGCGAGCTATATGCTACATCGGATCCAGAGTGGCAAGAATTTGTGAAGTTATCCAAGGATCGGAAGAAGCTCCAGAAGCTTAGGGGTGAGAAATCGATTCAATCCCCGCTCATCATCATTCGCTTACGAGTCTAGATGAACTTGCTACAATCGTCCTAGATAATGCGGGGAGGCAGATGTCACAGATACTCGGGGAGCCTCTCTCCCTCACCGGATTCTGGCTTGTTCATCAATTTCCCAACCGTGCCCCTCCTGGATATGTGCGATCGGGGTATGTGTTCCTAATCTCTAAAAGCGCAGTTCTTATACTGACAGTAGACAGGGTGGAGATTAAGAACGACAGTATATCATGGGTCGCAAAGCCCATGGACCCCGAGATAGGTGATAGGTTACAGACCTTCATGAAACCAGTTCATGTTGCTCTAGCAATTAGAGATGCGTATCTGGTACTATTACTAAGGCAACTGGACCGTTTCAAGAAACCTGCAGGGGAGCCACTGGATGCATTTGATTTCTTGAATGATTCTTCTGCCGCTCCCGGTGACGTGGGAGCGAACTGGATTGGCCGAAAAGACCAATCTAAGCTACAACCATCCCTGACCGATGGGCTCAAGGAAAACATGCCGCCTAATACTGAGAATCCCAACTATCATCCATCCTCCCTTATATCTTTGTTACAGCGGTTGCCGCTACCAGACCTCGGCCCGGGTTCAGATCTACACTTGGCGTCACAGGCATTCAAATTACGATTGAACCATGAACGGGCCCAGACACCAGGGTCTGCTCGCCGAGGATCTTTCTTTATTACGGGTCCAGTTGGGTTGAAGGGGCCTAATGGGTTTTGTCGATTTGAGGTGAAAGGCGAGTATGATCCAGCAAAACGTGAATGGCGAACTGTGGAAATGACGCTCAAAGATCTGAACATGAGGAGACAGAAAGCATTAGGAAGTTGATCACATATACCCAGAATTTTGAAGAGTTTTCATGTTAGGGCCTAAAGCATATCGGTCTCCTTTCAGTTCCACGAAATGTGTGCTGAGTCCAAGGCTCTTCATCTTGCCCTCTGTATGATTACTATACGATGTACGTACATACTTTCCACTGTTATTCAAGGGACCGACCTAAATCCGAAACCACTCCTAGATTTATGTAGCAGCCTTGGATATGAGGGCTATTAATACTTTGTGCCCGTGGATTGCTAAGGTGTTGATATTGTAAGAATTGAAAGGTTACTTGATTTGCTAACCATTGACGAGAATATCCAGGGAGGCAACTAAAGCTGAAACCCGAATGGCCAAGGACATTGAGTAGATGGTTCAGGTATGCATCTATCTGTCTCCCCCCTTTTGCAAACACTTGGTTTGTGTTTCCCTTCCAACATCGGCTAGAGGAACCAAGCAGAGAAGGCCCATGTCTCGCCCACAGTATTCTTCAAAGGTAACCTGACTAGGAAAGTATTTCAAGATGCTCACATCAAGTTCAGGGAGCGGAGAAGCGCAGCAGTAGCAGCAGTAGCAGCCTCACCGCTGCCCAGTAGGGAGAATGACTGGCCAAAAACGGGATTTGATGATCACCCTAGCATAGTCCGGGAGTCCATAACAAGACAGACGTTGGTCTTCCGTATGACATAATAGAGAGAGAGAAAGAGGGAGAGAGGGGAGAGAGAGAAAAAGAGAGCCTGGTCTAGCGTGTCAATGAAATCCCGGACAAGGAGAAAATGAAACTTGGTCTCATTCCAGAACTCAATCATGAAGCTTTTGTGGGCGCTAATGAGGAATATTGCGAACGCGCGTGTGCCCGCCATGAACGAACATAAAGGAACATAAAGCGATGTCTTTCTCAACTGCTCATATTTCCAAGCACAACGCCGCCAATCAATGACTAACCTATTGTTGCAGAGGGGGTTGGTAGTTAAGAGGGCGTCTGTAAGACGGTTAGTGACACAGCCAAGGGAGGAGTTCGTAAATAACCGACTTGAACAATAAGATATGAGGTTCGGGTTCATGCACCTCGTAATGCTCCCATCCCAAGCTCTGCGCGCACGTTGTTAGAACTAGAACCCATGGACATCCTCAAATCTTGTTCAACATACTTGTGTAATACCCAAAGCCCGCCATTCCTCCTCCCAGAGCAGTTTCAGAGTCCCCTTGGAGCTGTCGAAGTAGTCCGTGGGGATTTTTTTGAGCATATTCTTTGGGAGCTGCACATGGCGATATTCGAATTTGTCATCGTTGTATCTATATGGAGTCAATAAAGAGTCTATCACAATGGCATGGGGTCCTCACCTTGCCGAGTAGTGAATAGAGTCCACAAATTCATCAAGCTTCTCGCGCTCCGTCTCCAAGAGGAGACGGGGCTTCTTGTTGCGCCTAGCTGGGTCGATGTCCATTGGGATAGTGGATTGAGAAGGTCTCTCAGCTATACAGATTGTCAATACCACCCTCTTTCATGTGTTCAAGTAACAAGGCCAATAGATAAGTAGCCTGAGGATGTGGCTCACAATGTGGCTGAATGATTATCGCATGTAGCGACAACTGAAACGTACACTCACAGGACTCCTGTAGGGGCTCTAGGGTTGTGTAAAATGACTTGATATTGAGGAATCAAGGTACCGAGAATGGATGACCAGGTGAGAGTAAGAGTGTGTGACGCGATAGAGAAAAGAGTAGGTGTAAGTTGTAGAAACAACAATCGCCGGACTTGTTTTGCGGGACTCGGGAAAATAGTGGGGGGAGGGAAACAACCATTTGTCGGATTGGTCTGTATTGTAAATGTAGGGGTCCAATCAGTGGTATTCAACTCTCTGTATTTCTGTATCGGCTCTTGGTACAATTTATATGGAGCCATGATTACATAACATTAATTACAAAAATGTGTAGGATTAATAAATCCCCCGGTATGCCGGTCGTCATGCTCCGACACACCCCCTCAGCTATCCCAGTATGGGATTGCTGGACTTGTTAGATCGGCATATTGATCTCCATGGTTTAATTGACTAGGCCATTAGATAGCCTATGTCCACCATCCTGAGCATCCTTAGGAAGCTCTCATGCTTCTGGCGAGATAGCATCTTTGTGAGTCCATCTGCGACCATGCTCGCCGTCGGCACCCATCGCACCATTATGCGTCCTTCTCTAACCTCTTGCCGAAGCCAATGATGATGAATATCGACATGCCGAAGCTTCGTTTCGAAGGCAGTGTCCTCACTAGTAAGTAGGCTGATCGTTCTCTCGTTGTCGCAGTCGATCGTCATATTGTGGGAGGGTTCAAAACCGAGGCTTTTTAGTAGTCGACGCCACCATTGAAGTTGCTTCCCTGTCTCTGATAGGCCTAGCAGCTCTGCTTCAGTGGTTGACGTTGTCACGGTGGGTTGCTTGCTCGCTTTCCAGTCAACTGGTCCACCATAAGCTTGACAGATGTAGCCTGCAGAGCTCTTTCGATCTGGGTGATCTCCGTATGAAGCATCGCTTGCGAACTGTATGGAATCGATTCCAGTGCTTACTGCGTCTGCACTATATTCAATAGCTAGGTTCCGGGTAGTATATAGGTAACTGATGACCCGGTCAGCTGCTTGGTGGTGCTGGGGCCCTGGATTCGTCAAGAACTGAGCTAGTCGAGCGGTGGCCTTTGCAGCATCTGGCCTAGTGATAGTGGTGGCATAGCCTGCGGATCCAACCTTCTTTTGATAGAGAAGGATCTCCTTCGGGGTGGCTACGCCTTGGTAAGGCGTCAATTCGTCAACTGGTAGTGGCGTATAGACAGGTGGTCGATCTGTCAAATTGTAGCGGGTAGCAATGCTTGTCATATAGCTATCTTGACATAGCCAGAGCTTCTTCTGCTTCCTATCGCGAATGATTCGGATATTGAGAAACCATGATGCTTCTCCATGATCTGTCAGCTCCCAGTGGGCTTCTAGATCTCGCTCCAATTGCATGGCTCTTGCCTTAGCATTTGCATGGCTAGCAATTAAGATATCATCCACATAGAAGAAGACTATTAGCCCTTCTCCGACGAAGACACAAGGGTCTTCTGGTGCTTGTTGCAGACCTAGTTTTCGGAGTACACTAGCTGCTTCTTGTTGCCAAAGACGTGGCGAGATCCGTAAGCCGTACAATGCTCGACGAAGCTTCCAGCATTTACCTAGGGACTGGAACCCTTCTGGCATCTGCGTATACGTCGGTTTCTCTTGGCTTAGCTTGCTATTCAGAAATGCAGTGACAGCATCTCGCTGACGGAGGTCTAGGTCAAAGGCAGCGACTAGTGCAAAGATCATTCTTGCTGTTCTTGCTGCTAGCGTAGCAGCTCTCTTTTCTTCATAGGTAATCGTCTCAAGATCCCCACGAACACAGATTCGAGCCTTCAATTTCAAAAGGTAACCGTCCTGGTCGAATTTGTATGCAAAAACCCATAGTAAGGGAAGGATTTGTATCCCTCGATCCTTTGGCTTTTCAATGACTTCGAATGTCTCTTTTTCAGATAGAGAGTGGATCTCTTTCTTCATTGCTGCGAGAAAACCTTGCTGAAAAGGATGATTTATGACATCCTTCCAGTACTTGGGTGGTGGTGGGAGATCATCTCGATGGCGGCGAGCGTTTGGTTTCTCGGCGTATAGACCAGCTGCAAATGCATGTAGTAGAGCCGGTGGCTCTTCTTCGTCAATACCCTGTACTATAGTGGTTGCATATGCAAAATCGTCATCTTGTTTTGCTTTGCGTATTCGACGTCCACTTAGTATGTTGCTGGCATCTATATTGCTGGAGATCTCTCTGCTTGGTGCTAGCAGTTCTGCCTGGAGCTGTCTTTCTAGCTCATTTTCCACCTCTCTATTGGGTTCTTCATTAGGTTCTCCATTGGCTTCTTCATTGGCTTCTTCATAGGCTTCTTCATGGGCCTGATCTTCACTGAGCAGTTGATCATCTAGATCATGCGTATCCACCCCCTGATCAGGGCCAGTTTCCACCCCTTGCTGTAAGCCAGTTTCTTCATTTGGTGGGGTTAATGGTGATGGATCTTGATCCTTCTGTATGTCCTGGATCTCACCGGCTTCTTTTCTGACCGAGGTCAGAAGTATAGGTGGTAGGCTTATTGGGGTAGGCATTAATGCCTGCCTGCTCACCCCCTGAAGTGGGGTGATCTCTCGGTAGTCAACCTCACTTAGCTGAATATCTTGTGAAGTATCTGGTAGAGTATCTGGTAGAGCATCTGGAAGAGCATCTAGAAGAGCATCTGGTAGAGCATCTGGAAGAGCATCTGGTAGAGCATCGTCGGTTTCATCTTGTCGGTTTTGATGCTCACTTTCCGGCGTACTAGTTGCTTCCTGGCTAGCGATCTGATGGTTGATGATTTGCGCCACTTCGTCGGGCGTAATCTCTTCTGGCTCTCTCACTAATGGTAGTGGAATAGGCTGAGATTTCTCATAGTCCGGCGAGTATTTACGTGCTTCATCAATGACTGCATCTCGTATATACCTCACTTTCCCACTGTGTGGAAACCAGATTTTGTAGATATTAGATGCCAAGTATCCGACTAGGAAGCCGACCTCTGCTCTTGGATTCATCTTATCTGACTGGATCTGCCTCTCAATGCGGCAGTACGCCAAACTTCCATATAATCTAACATTTGCTAGATTGATCTTCGGGGCTGTTGGAGCAAATTCTCTTCTTACTTCTTCCCATGGTATTAACCACTTGTTCTCAGAAGCAATGTATGTAGGGGTACGGTTCAATAACCACACTGCAGCGCTTGCGAATTCAGGCCATAGGTCTTTCGGAAGCTTGCCTTCAAGAGAGAGCATACGCATACGGGTAATGATCATCCCGCCAGATCTCTCGGCATACCCATTCATCTCTGAGTGGCCGGGTGGAGTATGATATATCAAGATACCATCGCTTGTCAAACTGTGCTCCGCTGTTTTGCCTGCTGCGGCTTCATTGTCATAGTGAAATGCCTTGATCGGAAGGTTCCACTGATTCCTTGCTAGCTGTACAAACTGGTTGATCGCTATCTGGCATTCAGGCTTTAGCTCATGTGTCATGATCCAGTGGAATCTCGGCCCTTCTATATAGAAGTGAGATATCCATCGATGTCGATTGTATGCTGGCGGCAGTTGTATTAGATCAAAGTGGATTCTTCCAAATGGTCCAAAAGTACGTCCCACTGGCCGGCGAGAGATCTGCTTTGGTGCTCTCCCAATACGACATGTATGGCATAATGAAGCTTCTTCTTTCTCTGCTTTCTGGAGGACTATACCGTCTACCATAGTAGCAAGCTTAGCTACGGCGCGGGGCTCAATGTGAGCAAGTCGCCGATGCCAGATGTCAGCCGATGCCTTTGATTCCTGCGGCTTTACTGAGGATCTCTGTGTGGCATATGCTTGTTGTGGTGGTGGGGCCTCGTTTGGTTCGTCAAAAATCCATAGGTTAAATTGATCCCATAGATGCACATTGACTACAGGTAAATCCTTTGGATCTCGGATGCAGTTTGTACGTTGACACCAGGTGCCCCCCTTCTTCTTTAGCATCGCGTACGATACTAGATTTGTATGGAAGCTAGGCGAGTAGAGAGCGTCACTCAATGTGATTTCCATTCTCCCTTTCTGTGGATGCTTGCCGACTAGTCGAACTTTGCCTCTCCCTAGCACCTGCGTAGTACTGTCACCAGTTGTCAAATCTATGACTTCCGGCGTAAAATCAATAAACAGTGCTCTGTTATTGCATACATGTGAACTGGACCCAGTGTCAAGAATCCATCGATTGCGGAGAGAGAGCTCGCCAGTCTTTGCAGCTGAGAGTGCATGCTTGCCAATCTGTATAGCTTCACTTAGTAGCTTGCCTTGGTGCTTGCCCTGGGGCTTGCCCTGAGGCTTGCTCTGAGGCCTGCTCTGAGGCCTGCCCTGTTGCTTACTCTGGTAGGTGGTGGCGAAGCTAACGTGGTTTGCAGATTCATGATGCTTTGATTTAGCTTCATTGACAGCTTTGTCGACCCATTGCTTCCACCCTGGATCATTTGCTAGCTTCTTTCTAGCTCTCTCTAGCTTCCCTTCGTCTAGGGTATATCCTTCTGGGCGTATAGCTTCATTCATGAGCCAGCAGTTGGCCACCTTGTGGTGTGGATGACCATTGCCACATGGACATTTTCTCTTCTCGAATGGAAGCTTCTCTTGCTTCGCTTCCGGCTTTGCTTCTCGATGACCTTGCCAGGTTGAAAAAGCACTTTTTGGAGCATTAGTTGAGGTCACAGTTTTGACGCCTATCTCCCGATTCATTGCACGGAATGATTCAAGAAGATCTCGAGTGTCATATTTCTTCTTATCCATAACAATCTCTTGGTATTTTCCTTGCCACCAGATTGGCAGTACCTCTTTAACTGCATGTAGGAAGTCTCGATTGGAATCTGCATCGCTAATGCCGAGGCTAATAGCTTGCTCTCTTAGTGAATTCCACTTTTGAAGCCACTGCTCAATATCACCGGTTGGTTTCTGCATGGCAAAGACCTTCCAATTCATACGGATTTCTTCTTCGTACGCCGTTGACCGAGCAAATCTAGTCTTTAGGTATACAAGCCTCTCATACGGAGTACGATATGTGATCAGAGCAAGGTGATGCATTGGGTCGAGGTAGGTAAGGATGTACTCGTTGACATCACTTAGTCCTTTTGCTTGCTTCTCCCACTTCGTGTACTTCATTTTATACACGTCCATTCGATCTCGCCAAATCCTTCGATCCTTGTCATCGCCGTCCTCTGGGTATTCCGGTTCCACCGGTTCTTGGAGAGGTATAGATCTTATTGCTTGGGATTCGGTTGTCGTCGGGGGATCTGGGTTGCAAAGGTCCCATACGTTCTTTTGCATGGCATATAGCTGCACTTTTGCAAACCAAGTGAGCCACTGCGGCGAGTCCTTCAGTTTTTCGCCCTTCATGGCGGAGAGAATTGATGCTGCCTCCATTGCTGGATTCAGGGGTAGCTGGGAATAGCTTCACAATTGCTAATTCAGGGGTAGCTAGGAGGTTTCAAGGGGTAGAAAGCAGGCTTCTAGTAGTGTACTAGATACTATATCTCAAATAGTAATGCTTTCTTCGATGCGAACCGGGCTCATAACTGTCGGATTGGTCTGTATTGTAAATGTAGGGGTCCAATCAGTGGTATTCAACTCTCTGTATTTCTGTATCGGCTCTTGGTACAATTTATATGGAGCCATGATTACATAACATTAATTACAAAAATGTGTAGGATTAATAAATCCCCCGGTATGCCGGTCGTCATGCTCCGACACCATTTGAGTGCCTCAGGTGTCAGTCCAATCGCGGGTGTGTAAATCACGTGCATGTTATCAAGTTGTGCATGCACAATACGTAATTGGTATCAACGTTACCACTGTGTAAAATACGGTATATGAGATTTCAAGTTGTCCCAAGGTTGCTTCAACAGATACTATTACATATATGCCTAGGTAGTCTATATTATAGAGTACATAAACAAATTGTTAGTTATGTATGTAAGTACATGTAACAGTGAGGTCTGTACTCCGTATGTACCTAGGTACCCCTGGATCCACTAGTCTTCTTACCTAAGCCGAGACGATCCCGTGGACGCGTCCGCAACACGTCCCAAGATGAGGAATGTCTATGCGGATATCTCCCTTTGCCATACTCTTATCACTACTTGTAAATTCTTTCAACCAATTTGACCCTCTGTTTATTAAATTTGTATTTCCAGTTCACCTGTGGTCCTTCAGTCACAGATTTCTATCTTCAATGTGCGACTCGACTCGCGACTCGAGACGTTATCAGAAGTAATCCAAGATGACCTCAAAACGACGGGCAGCTGCCGCAGCTTCCCCAGATCTGAAGTTTCGTAGAACGAAACGTCAAAGGGTATCCGTAAGTATCAGTTTGTTGCATCAATGCATATTGATTGGCCCTTGACACTTGAATGGACTATTGCAACATTGCGAATATGGCAATTCGGCCTACGCTATTCAAATGTCTATTTACCACCATAAATCATTGCTTTGCGCATATGGGCCGGATCGCATGTTTCAATCGCTAATTCAAGCTATCGTGCGTGTGATAGGGCGATGATATCATGATTCCCGAGGAGTCCAATCGTGCGTCGTCGCATCAGGACTCAGAGGAAGCTGATCAGACACGGGAGTCGCAGGCCGAGTCTGAGGCAGATTTTGAAGGTGATAGTCTTCAGACTGCACAAGACAAGATTATGTCCGAGTTGACCCGGCTCAAGGATTCGGAGTAGGTATCACTGCTCCTGGTCTTTTGCGTAAGGCTGATGACCCGGACTAGTGGCGAGGACATTTCTTACCCGTTCATTGGGAAGCCAGATCGGAATCTGTACCGGGACTATTATGAGATCATTCAACATCCCGTGTCCTTACGGAGCATCCAAAAGAGAGTTCGCGGTACAGACAGCAGGAAGAATTCATCCAAAACCACCGCATATCCTACATGGCAGTCCTTCGAAGAGGAGGTCAGCTATGTATGGCGAAATGCTAGGGAATATAACGAAGACAACAGTGATATCTCTGTTCTCGCTGGAGTTTTGGAGGTAAACCGATACCGCAACGCTCTTGCTATCCGTCCCGTTCAGCGTGCTGACATTGGAGACCTAGGATCACTTCCACCGACGGGTTGCGGAAGCTAAAAAGCTTGTTCCTAATCCCCTTGAGGTACATCGAACCCTTGAGATGCCTCGCATCAAATTGAAAGTGGGCAATACTATGCCCCCAATGGCGCAGAGGTTAACCTTGAAAATGCCTGGGCAGACCTCCGATACACTATCCAAGAATGATGGACACGCCTCGGATGTCATATTCAAGAACGAATCCCAAGGCAATACGCAAGATATTGCCGGAGCTGGATTACCAGCAGGTCAAGAAATCAATGGATCTCCTCGGGAATTCTCTCTTGGGGGGCAATTCGGCAGCCCCAGGTCAAGCACCATAACCACACAATCTGGTTCAGAGCAACAACAGAACAGTTCCATGAGTGCACAGGGCTTACTGGAATCGATGTCAAACGCAGCTAGCCTAACAATATCCACTTCGCAAAATCATCCGGGTGCGTCTTTTGATGTGTCTTCGGATGTTCCTCGACATTCATCCTCGAGTTCAGGTACGTTGCGCTTAGTAGACATTCTGTCGTCTAGGAAAAGTGTTACTCGGTTCCCAGCGCTTGCTAACCCCTTGCCAGCCCATTACCAGCCGCATTTCGGCTACTCGCCCATGGATTCGCTTCTAAGGCGATCAGGCCAAGGTTTGACTCCCACTGAGATTTGCGGGACTCTCAGCTAACTAAAGCCAGACCCAAGGATGGCTTTGATTAGTAATGTTCGGATTCTTACACATGCCTCTTTATCGTTGCAACCGGACTTCTGCCTAGATATCCCCCCTTCGTCGCTTGTTTCACAACAGAATATCATAGTCCATCTTCCTCCGTCGCATAGTGTACTGACAGTCAGGCCTCGTTTAGCGGCTAGTACTTCCCAGCGACAGGTAAAGATCGTTGCACTCACGGGTATACAGCGCCTTCATTCATCTGGAGATGCTGCTACACTTTCATATGATATCCATCTGCACCCTGGCATGACAAGGGTTGACTTGGAAGCTATTGCTGGGCCGGCTAGAGGAGTCCCGAAATCCGGCCCCCTGGGTCGGAAGTTGATTATGAACGTGTCACTCTATTCTTTAATCTGCTACGTTAACAATGATGTCGAATAAATAGTGTTTGTTCATTAAAGGGGTGGTGCCATGTCCTAGCAGAGTCAAACTCTGAAGATTATTAGATATACAATTAATATCTATAATAACTCCCTATTAGTAGACTTCGGCACAACGCACTCTAACCTGAACCCAACTCAACCTAATCTAATCTAGCTAGACCTCATTAAAAACATTTAGAGGGCCGGCATCTCCCGCCCTCCGCCCTCTGAGGGCCGCCCTCGAGCGGCCCTCATCGGCCCTCATTTTTATAAAAAAAGTTGACCTTTCCTAATTGAGATGTATAAAAGTGCTAACTCATCACTTTAAATTACGGTTATTTAATAGTATTCTAGTTTATATATTAAATTTATACTCTATTTCTTTATTAGCGTTAAGAAACTTTATAAAATTGAGTTATATTACAATTAATTATAGTAGGTAATAATAATATTATATATTCCTAGTATCTTTAAGTATATTAGTTATTATTAATTATAAGGGTTATTAATTTTAGATAATAGAGTTATAGAAATATATATTTACAACTATAGCTAGATAGTATATACTTCTTATCTGAATACCAATTTTTTTAACTTTTATATTTCCCTTATAGGATATTAATATTTTAGTAAAACTAATAAAAAGAGCTTTAATTCTTCTACTTAGAAATATTTTAAATAAGATATTATTAGAGTTCGTATATTCTAAAGTTATAAGATATTTACTACTAGTTTTTACTAGATTTAGGGGTTATTGAATTTAGTAGAAAAATAAGGGCTAATTGAGGGCGGTTTAAGGGCGGCCCTTAATTAGCCTAGTAAATCTAGCTAGTTATAGAGATTATCTTAAGTTAAAGTAGGTTATATTATAATATATTTATTATTTACCGAGTAAGCTAAACTTTAGGGTAGTTAATCAATTCTATTTACTAGAACTTATTAATTTTCTTAGTATATCTACCTTCTAATTCCTATCCCGTTTTTAAAATAAACTCTATAAGTAATTATTTAGTTAATAATATCTTAAATTTCTTAGTTCTTAAATATCTATTCTTTATCTATCTACGATAGTAATCCTACGAATTTAACCGACCCTCTTCTCTACTAGACTTCGCCATAAACCGCAAAACCCATAAACCGCAATTGGGGCGGGTTTTGGGGCGAGGTCTATAAACCGCAATGGTTTATGGGTTTTTACTTTCAAACCGCAATGGTTCTTGGGGCCCCAAGTGGTTTATTAATTACAGGCCTAGTAATTTTGGTAAATCTTATACATATGTAAGTCTAAATATATCATTATTTTGGTAGTAAATTAAGGTCATAGGTAATAAAAATATTATCAGTACTGGTGGATTACAATACGGTAATTAATTATAATGAATTTTATGCAAAATTATGCAAAAATGGGGTTTAAATGGTTTTTTTGGGGCCCCAATAGAACCCATCAAAAACCGCAGTGCGGTTGCGGTTTAGCTGATTCCAAACCGCACCCAACGCGGTTTGGGGGTTGGGGCGAGGGTTTGGCCCCAATTGCGGTTTATGGCGAAGTCTATTCTCTACTTTCCGAATAAGTAATTCCTAACCCCTAAGATTTCCGAAAGCTAGTAGATATTTAATACTACCTTAAATTCTAGGTTTCTTACCCTAATTTCTTTACCTTTAATTCCTTCTTTACTTTAACGTATTAGTCTAGATCGATTAATAGCGTTTATTCTATATACCGATATATTAAAAGATAATTTTATTTCCTAATAGTTAGAGACTAAGTTTAGAAAGACAAAAAAACGACTAAACTAGAATAGTAACCGGATAGCCGCTTACTAGGACTAATTTAATTAGGTTACTAATATAAAAACCAGTAAATTAGGGGTAATATATCGTTAATACTATAAAGTCCTCGATTATCTAGTAAATAGGCGGTATAGAATAACTATACTTTATCGATACTTAGCTAGACTAACTTATCGTAAATCTAGTACCTAGAAGGGTAATATTAAAGGACTACTTATAAATACTATATATATTATATAATTTTTCTATTATTATTTACTAATAACTCTTTAGATTAATAGGCGTAGAATATACTAAATAAGTCAATAGTCTTTATATAAGAGGTATAGGAATAGAAGCTCTTATAATTATTTACCCTCTCCTATCTCCCCTTTAAGTTTATTAAATACCTAGAGTTTTATAAGGTTATTACCTTTACCTAACTTACCTTAATATAACTATAGATTCCTTCTATAGTTATAATACGGTCTCGACTACGACGGTATATCTAGGAATAGTAATAGTCTATTCTTAATAAGCTTCCTCCTAATATAAAGCTTTCGATTATATTAGATTACTAGATATCTTCGTTTTAATAGGCTTTTATAGCCGTTACTAGCTACTTCCTTAACTATTATTAGGAGTATCGAGAGGTTCTTAGATTTAAACTATTATCTAGCTTATACTTAGGTATTAACCTAAATAATATAGTTTTAAAGCTCCTCTATTAGTATAAGATTATAGATTGAGTACTTATAGTTACTACCGATAATATATTAAATAATAATACTATAATAGTAAGTATCTAAGAATTACTTTAGTCTCTTAAGCTAAATAATAGTACTATAATCGTTCGGATTCCTTATATTACCTATATTATCTAGCTTAGTCTAAATAATCTTCTTAGGAAGATAAAGGTAATTCTAAAGAATAAGAGTATAGAGATAGACTAGTCTAATAACTGTATTTGATCTCTTCGTATAAAGTAATAAAAAAGAGAAATTATTAATACTTTTAATAAGGTATACCCCTATAACCCTACTTTTTTTTATTATACTAATCCTTCTATTTTTATATAGATCCGAAACCTTACTATCTATATTAACGTAAGTCTATAACGGAGAGAGTTATTCTATAATCTTTAAACTGAGGAGCTAAGGCTTATTCCGATCTAGGATATCCGAACTTACTAGAATTCGATATTTTTAATACTCTAATATACTAAACGGCTCTAATTAACCTTTAATAAATTCTACGCTTAGTACGACTAGGAATACTTTATACTAAGTCTAGAAGAGTAGCGATAGATTAACTATCTTCTTTAGATTACCTAGCCTTTCTTTAAATTTACTACTCTTCTTTCTAAAACTAAAGATATTAGTATTTATCTAATCTTTAATATCTATAATAAGCTCTTTAACTACCTTAAAAAAGTTAAAGACTGCCTTAAAATAGAAGAAGGTTATATAGAAGTAGTTTATACTTACTTCTCTTAAGGTAGTAGAGAAGAAGCTTTTATAATATTATAGCTAGACTAATTAAATTAATAATAATCTTTATATAATTAGTACTATTCTCTTACCCTAATAAAAGCTTAACTTTTTTAAAGGAAAGGACTAGGATAATCCGGTTAATAATTAGTATATAATCTATCGAGTAAGTCTTAAGGAATACTTTCAGTCCTATAAGAAACTTTATTTAGATATATAATTATTATCTAGAGCTCGATTATCTATAATCGTAATTTTAGAGCTTAAAATAGAATACGGGGTAGAAGAGTCCTAGCCCTTAGTATTAAGTAAATATAATAAGCTTAAGGAATACCTTAATAGTAGTAAGTTATATCTTTTTATTATCTATCCTATATTAACTTATATTTAAGGTATTATACGAACGGCTACCTATTTATTTTAGAAAGAGTATTAGTATTAGTACCCTACTCTTATAAACCTTATACGCGATATACTTTCAATACTAGCTATAGGGGCGGGTATAGAACGCCTTTTTAACTCCACCTAGGATATCTATTACTACCGACGAGGCTCTCTAAAGGTATTAATAGTTTAAGATCTAATAATATTTATATATATATCAAAATTTGAGATCGAAGATACCTACCGAGCTTTAATTAATAAGTATCTTTTATATAAAGAGATATAAGTAGACTGCGGCACGATCCACAATATCCGCAAACTACGGATATAGGTATTTTTTGATATCTAAGATCCGTAGCCTTACGGATTTGGATATAGACCTTATATCTATTGGATATTTACGGATATCTAATAGATATCAAATAATATAAATATACCTAGACTCGTGACCTCGAGGGGTATATATTAATTTTATATTTTCCTCTATATTTTTCGTATAATAGTATATTATATCAAATAATCAAAATCTAGATCTTTTGGGGGTTATATAAATTTAAATCTTCTTATTTATTTATATATACTATTTATAGATCTAACTATAAAGGGCTACAGTCGAATTGAGTCAATTAAACGGCGTCTATATACTGTTTAGCTAAAGTTTAGGAGTTTTACTATATAGGAACTCTATAATAGTATTATATATTCTTAAAGTTATAGGGTAGTAAGCGCCGCCGGTAGTTCCTAGGCCCTAGAGCCTATTCTCTGATCTCGGTTAGAAATCCTCTTATAGTAGGGATCTCTCCCTCTTTTATAACCGTATTTAGTAACTTAGGCTAGGAGGAGACTAATAGCGTATATAGGTAAAGCCCGAGCTCTAATACTAGTACTAATCTATTATACTAATTAGAAGCTATTTAGTAGCCTTAGCTATTTTCGAATCCGCTCTAAACGGCTTAGTATACTCCTATCTACCGGTATCTCTAAAAGCTTATTATCCTCTTTAATAGCGTTATATAGTCGTTTTTAAGGTTATTTTTCTTTTACCTATCTATATCGCTCGGTACTATTATTATTTGAGTTATTATTACTACTCTTAGTATACTAGGTAGCCTCGAGTCTAGTCTCTTAATCCTCCCCCTCGTTATTACTAATAGGTTCTAAGACCTTAAGCTATAGTAATAATCTCTAGGTTTAATCTAGTAAAGTAGCTTTACTTTAGGATAGATACTCTTTAGCTCCTTATATCGAAGGTTAAAGTTAGTAGTAAACTAATAATCGGGTCGTCGAACGCGGCCACCAGGCGGTGTCCGGGTTCCCGGGCGTAATCTCAACCCGGGCGTAATCTCACTTTTCTCCATTCCACCAAATAATTCAT